TCGAGCCCCTCTTCCCTCGCTCCCCCCCCCCCCACGAAAAAAAACAATCCACTCCCCCATCATCCTATCCAACACCACCACCCCCACCGCTCATCCCACAGGTCTCCGTGGAAAGAGAGCTTTGGGGTAAATGTGCTGTTGGGTTTTGGAGTGGCGGGGAGAGGGGAGGCATCTGCTTCCATTGTTTGCGCTTCCCCTGCTCGGTCAAACGGAAAAGCCTGAAATCAAAGCACTCCGCGAATGATTCACTCTTTGATGAACTCTCAACAGGACATGAATTAGAATGGACAGAACCACGTTGCGAGCACAAAAGGTGGGGGTGGTGGATGGGTGGGGTGGTGTGTGTGTGTGTGTGGTGGGGGGTTATGAAAGTTCCCCTTTGTTTACGTGAACCTTATAGATTATTCAAAAGCATCACTGTACGCGCCGTGCGCGGTGTGTAACGCGCGGCGCGCGATCCGGAGCCGATGGCGAAGAGAAAAGTGGAACGGAGCGCACGCGCCCAGAGGGCATTTGCTGGCCCACGTTTGAATTATTCAGGGCCACTTTACATTATAAATTACACACAAAGACAAAAGATCCCTTCTCCCCCCCCCCGCCCCGCGTAGCCTTGTAACAGAGTTTTGGGGGCAAGTGCTGTTAGCTAGTAGCACCTACGAAGGCCGGCACGGCACACGAGAAGAGTGGCCAGCATCACGCCCGGCCGCCTTTGTCTCCCCAGTGGCGATGATTTTTACACACCACACCAGGCACTCGTTTGAGGCTGAGTCGACCTAGCGGAGGCCCGCGACCGGTTTAGATAACCTTCACTGGTGTTGGCCGTGAGCGGGAATCGAACTCGGGTCCTCACTACAAATCACGCGCACTCTGTAACAGGTAATAGGTGCAGCCGAGCTGCAAGGACATGCTCATGCTACTGTTGAGAGCCCCGGCCTCTTGGGGAGTATTTGGTCTACTCTTCCACGCTAGCCAGACGTGTTGTGAAGAGGAGGGAGAGCCCACACTTTACCCCGCCACACACGGCCTCGTCACAGTGGTGGAGATGGAACCGCACGCGGCTCTTCAAGGACTGCTTAGTGGCGTCATTTATTAAGGGCCGCCGTCTCGTATTCACATTGCATTGCGGGTTCGAGAAATATTTTATCGAATTAAAAAATAAAATACAATTTTTGTTTCTCGTCCCCTGTGCTCGGTGGCCAGATACGCCACATATCGCATCATGGCAGCATCCCTTAAGTATATAAAACATTCACACATCTTATATATAAAGTGGAGCTCAATGTTTTACATAACGTTTCGGAGTATACTAGGACCGCAAAAAATCGGTAACACTCAACAACGAGGCACTTGACGATAACTGAACGAAAAATAATAATCCACTAGCTTGCAATCTTTTTTTTTATTAATTTGCTATTTTAAGAGAATAAAAAAATACACATCGAGCCAGATTCAAACTTTGATGAACTGGCCAGAGCACATGGTCCTGGCGAACTCTCACATTTCTTTAAAATGTAGAAAGCAAGTTTTGTCCAATAAATAGTATGAAAAGGAACATTTGCCAACACGTTAATCAGGGCCATGCCGCTGGAGGATTAAAACAAGGAAGCTACTTGCGACGGCTTGGAAGAGTTTCTCCCGCTACTCCTCGGCACGTCGATACGTTGCTTTAATTTGATTTGTTAGTGGACCCTTTGGGATTTACACTGGAGCGAAATAAGCCTAACATGGTCTTGTGTGACTTTGGCAACTTGTAATGACCTCGAGTTTGTCGATACACTGGCTGTAGAAGTATTTATTTTCGAAAATAAATGATTGTTTTTCTGCCTGTCTCGCAACCACTTGGTGGCGTTGTCACGAGAGAGAATCCCTCTTGCTGGAGCTTAAAATATAAATTTTATCGCCATTTTGTTAAAACGACGCGCCAGAGATTCATTTCCTCGTCACACCGATAGGTCAGGAGTCTCTGTTGAGGATAGCCTTATAATTGTATGTGTGGACGAAGAAGATTGTAATACAGAGACATGTGTACTCCGCATACACATCTTAATCTTGATTTGAAGATTTCGTGACTGCAGGAATCCATACACTTTGGTTCTTTCGGTAAAGTCGTGTAGGTAGAAAAATGTAATAAAACAAAAAATAATATATCACGACGTTTCGATCGCAACACAAGTGGTCAAAACGTCGTGATTTTTTTTTACCTACCAAAGAGTATACACATCTTAATCCAACAATATACCTTACAGGGTGTCCTAAAAGCCGGGACACAGGGTTGTAAAGTATTTTACACTGGCATTAAAACGTGTAATTGTTTAGTCTTTAAATTAACATTGATAAATATTATCATTACAGTATGAACATTTATTTTTCTTCTTCCTAAGGGGGACACCTCAAATCTGTCATTTACAAAACACGACCAAGAACTATGAAGGGATTGAGACAAAGCAGAATTGATGAATGTGTAATAGATTAGACCTGCAATCTGAAAGGAAGTTCGAAAGTAATAAAAAAAACGTTATTTGTGCACACATTAATGTTAATGGTAGTCAGTTGGAATATTTGTTAAAATACATTAAACAACCCTGTGTGGTTTGTTAAAATACGTAGAATAACCGTGTTGACTTTTGGGCCACCCTGTATATATCTCCCTGCAGAATAAAAAAAAAGTCGCGTGGAGAGTTTGCGGAATTCGACAAAATCAGCCACCCAACACGATCGGGATGCGAACAAATTTGTGTTAACTCGTATTTACTGCCGCATCAACAATAATTCACAAAGTAAAAACTAAACATTGAATGATCCGTCAGCAGAGCAACACACACACAAACGTGAACTCCTTTCAAGTAATCGTCATCATTGTCAGCCACGGCCAAATCCATTGCTGGATGACAACCTGACCCAAAAACCTTTCCAACCACACATGGGCCCACCTTTAGAAGTAAACCACTTATAAATGCCAACATACGCTTCATAGAATAAAACTTTTATTTTTGTTACTTTTTTTTACATTTGAACTCCCGGTCACATTTCAAATCCCAAGTTTAACTTTACAAAACAATGTTGGGGGTTTCCTTTGTTTCTCAAACAGTTCACTTCACCAAAGCTTATGTAAACCTTAAAAAACACATTTATAGCACGTAACATTACTCAACATGAATGTTTTTTTTAAACAATGATCTCAATTATGATACACTTTAGTTGCTTAATTTAAGTCCGTCCTGCAAGACAGGAAAATAAAAAAATATATAAAACATACAAAACATAACCTTTATATATTAAAAAAACACATGTTTACTCTGCCTACTGCCGCTTTGACCATACATGGCTAATTTAAAAGAGGGTTGTGTTAGCAAGTATGTACAACAAGAAGCCACCAAAACAAAACGAGTTTGTTATTTTAGCTACTAAATCGATAAATGTTCTTAATTTTACTAGTCTTTAAGGCTCTGGATATCAAATACACGCGAGTGTAATGCGTTCTTGCTGTTATACGTCAATAGCCTCGGGTAATATCACTAGGTGTCAAAGTTCACGTTTTGTATAAGTTGCGGCTACGTAACCTCTGAAGAGGTGGCAGTTAAGAACCCGATCATGATTACCACCTTCTAGAACAATATTGCTGCACAAGGTAGAAAGTAATGTTCACGGCTTGAAGTGAACAACGCAATGATACGACAACTCATATTTGCATTTTGTTAAAGAAGAATGTGTTTCTTTTGTTTGAAAACATGAAAACACAAGCTTACGTTATTTTGGCCAAAGCTGTAACAATAAGCAATGTTCTACGGTATGGACAAAAATAATCTTATTTTAGTATATTTTAACTTGCAAATTTTAGCACCCCCTCCCCCCCCCCCCCAGTTAAAATAAATTAAAATGAAACAAAAATAATTCGTGCCAGCAACGTGTCATTCTTTTGCATTGCCAACACAATATAAGGAGCACTTCTATGCGTTACATAAGGCAGCACTGCGGTTAATTATATCTTACAACGCTCAAGCACAAATGCACACAATGCTTTTACACTGATTTTAAGGCCATTGTTTAAAGTAATTCATATTTATTTCCCCAAAAAAAAGACATCAACCGACCTTCAAGGTAGAATAGCGCATCTGTTTCACGTCTCGGCAGAACATGTGCAAGCACTGATCAGCGTGTTAGAAGAACTTGAGAATTCAAGAAAATGGCAGTGACGATGAACACTTGTGTAGGAATACATTGTCTCCATATCAGAATAGTGAACTAAAATGAACAAAAAAAAGCTTACAAGTGCTACTACAGAGAACAAAAAAAAGTAGTTTAAATGATAAAAAAAAATAACTGCATGCAGCTGGCATTAACAAAAATCTAAGCTTTGGCTGGGGTACGACAGCAGAGAATGTATGGCGAATGTGTTTTTTTTGCCCGAGGAGCATAACTACCCCTTGACATCATGTCTCGGCAGTGAGCAGACTCAATAACAGTTCCCAAGTCACGCGGCGTTCATCCATGAGGGTTACACACGCAACAGGGTTGTCACAACACAGGAGTATCACACTACACCACGATACCAGAGCAAATGACAATATTGTAGCTATTCTAATATGCCTTGATATTGCCGTTTCAAGCAGTCTCAACCAGCAGTGCCAAAGGGAAATTCCTTAAGTGAATATATTGTACTTGTATCGGCAACTCAGTGATGTTTTTGTACATGCGCGCACACACAGACCACACTCTGGGAAAACACTTAAATATGACGGTTCATATTGGTTTTGGATGTGATAAATAATTGTCCTATTTACATTTTTTAAATGGCACACCTTAATACCTTGATGTGAAAATAACATAGACATGGATTCATCTTCTTGGTTCTTTCGGTAAAGTCACGTAGAAGGGAAGTAATAAAATAATAAAAATAAAACATTATTATTAAAACATTATTATGTTTTATTATTATTAAAACATTATTAATAAAAATAAAACATTATTATTAAAACATTATTATGTTTTATTTTTATTATTTTATTACTTCCCTTCTACGTGACTTTACCGAAAGAACCAAGAAGATGAATCCCTGCAGTCACGAAAGCTTTAAATCGAAAAATAGACATGGATTATACGTACATTATGTGAGTGCGCGTGTGTGTATGCGTGTGTGGATGTATGTGTGCGTGCTCGCTAACAGCACTTGCCCCTACAGTCTGTTAAGGCTATACAGGGGATCTTTGTCTTTGTGCGTGTTTGTCTGACAACTAAAACGCAGTCGGGTCGTCACAGTGGCAAGTGCAGTTTGTGAGTCTGCCAGGCACCCCAAGTCTGTTGACGCCACCCCACCTCTGCCCGTCTGTCACGTGGCCTCACGTGCACCTGGCCTGGCACGAACGCCACAGTGTCGTCTGGCTGTTGTTGTTGCACATGCATTTGGGTCTGTTTTTTATCGGGTCTGAAAGGATTCTCCAACATCACGATTTGAGGAAACGTCAGGATTCTGAAGGTTTAATGAAAAATAATTTTTGCGCGTGAAAAAAGATAGACTACGGCGGAAGGCAGCATCTCCAGTGGTCACATGAACTAATCACACACACACGGCATACGCAAATAGATGTTAATAATTTATTACACGCGATGGCATGCATGTATCGTGACGAGGGTAATCGACGCACTGTCATAGCCTCGTGTTTATAGAGATATCTGCTGAATGTGTGCGCGTGTGCGTGAAGAACAATGCTTTCTGGAGAACATTTTGAAAGGAACATGGTTCCACCACGGCGAACATTTACACGATATGGACCATTTTAAACCATTAAAACAACGACTTGCATGATGACAATTTGTATAACTTGACATGACCAAAAAAATCACCATGAGAGCTTTACCCATTTCAATGAATATTGCTTTTTTGTGAACTCATATCGTTACGGTGCAGCAGAATGGAAGACGTAACTCCTGTCGACATATTAAACAGCTACACAATAGCAACACTGTCCTAGTAATGCGAATTCAACCGAACCTCGTCATCAAGTAGTCAGGTTCAGTTTTCACCAGAAGCCCACATTTCAAGATTTCGAGTCAAAAAGTTCTCCATTGCCACAGCCAAGGATTAGTAGTGTCCGACAAGTGATTAATTTCACACCCATTAGCTCCACGGCTACACAACTGCTCAAATGAGAGTTGGGGCAACGCTCATTTACATTGGCCACCAGTAGACAGTGGTGGAAAATCGACATTCCTATGGCCGGGGACCAGGCGGTTACTCTGGTTCATAAGAGGGAGACCGGAGAAGGCCGAATGCGTTTAGTTGATTGAGTATCCACAATGCAATGCGCACAAACTCATGCCGATACACTTCCCCATCCTCTCGCGCTTGTGTTGAGCATTGCGCTGTGCATTCATCAACATTGTGTTGAATACTATAAACCTGTTTGTCTGGAAGGCACATCCTTAAAATGTAGAATTACCTTGTTTTAACCTTTACCAGGCTAGGTTGCAACACAGAGGCACATGTGCATGTGCACAAAGGCAAGGATCCCCCATATAGCCTTAACAGACTGTTGGGGCAAGTGCTGTTAGCGAGCACCTATGAAGGCCAGAACGGCACACGAGGGGGGGAATGGGTGGCCAGCACCACGCCCAGCCACCTTTGTCTCCCCAGTGGAAATGTTATTACGCACCGCACCAGGTACCAATTTGAGGTCGAGTCGACCTAGGGGAGGCCCAGGACCGGTTCAGATAATCGACACTGATGTTGGCCGTGAGCAGGAATCGAACTCGGGTGGCGGGGTTCGTAGCGCAGTGCGCTAACCGCGACACTTAACGCTGTCTGTCTTTGCGTGTGCAGACACACGCACAAACACAGCGGCATCCATTGACGAGACTGATGCAAAGCTTCTCCTCATCGTCCGGCAATTGTAGAGTTAAAAGGATACTGGGCAGCTGCGTAACATTCCTTTAGGGACATTTCCATTGAGGAATGTTATACAACTGGGCATTGCCATTTTAAAGTGAAATTCTCCTTTAGATCACACCGATTCACATTACAAAGTAAGAAAAAAGATACCGTTCATGATAAATTTTGCAAGTGAGCACAGACACCCGGCCTTTCTTTGGGGCCGGCAGTCTGGCACGCAGACAGGAGGAGGCAGCGCTAATCTACAACACCTCCACCGGAACGCAGATCGACTTTTCCCATCCTTTGGCTTATTGCATTAAACGTCTTAAGTGAAACCTTCCCTTACTTTTCACGGATGTGCGTGAGAAATCAACGGTGCCTATTCGCTCAGGTTGTGTCATGCAGCTGTCCCCTTTGTCTTTGACAATTTCCCACTTGGCTTGGACGCGGAGAAGAGAGAGAGACGCGATTTGAGATACGGTATTCCCTCGCTGTTTGCGAGGGATACGTTCCGGATATTCTCAAGAACAGAGCATTTTGCGGAGAGTGATGTCGGCCTACGAATATCGTAGGCACAACATCTGCAGCTGCTTCTAAAGCTTCGAGAAGTTCTCTCTATCTCTTTAACTCATCACCATCTTTCTCTCTCTCTCTCTCGATGCAGCCGTGTAGAGTTCCAGATGCGATTCGCGTACAGCCAAAATTGCGGACAGCAAGTTCGTGAAGAACGAGGGAATACCGCACAATGAAATAACTGCACCGGGCTACGATGCGGCTTCCTGCCGCTGTAGGTTGCAGTAATACAGGTTACGTATAGGCATACGGCAAGTATAGTCAGTGTGCACACAGTACATTGGGCAAACAGTTTTTAAAACTATATTTATACACGTGAACATCTTAGAGGATTCTGTTATAGTTACAGAACACTCGTAAGTGCTGAAATACCACTGTACATTTGTACACAGAGTTATAATAAACACAGCAACAATAATAATACATTCCCGTATTTATAGCCGTATATGCACGTATTGGTACCTAACCCCATAGATATACAAAAAATATAGGACACTGGCAGTGTTAGTGTTAACGTCTAGTAACAATTCACCTATTCAACACAATGTACAAGTTTACATGCTCATTTAATGACAGCGATGGGGAGGAAGAACGGCACACATTAATCTGTGCAATAAATTTCAATTTAAGGCCACTTTGACATAAATAAAACATTTGACTCCAACTACATTCAAACACGACACAGTTGCATAAACTATAAAAAAATAAATATGCTTGCTTTTCTTTTTCATTATTTTACACTGCATAAACCTTGCCCGCCACCTCTCCTGTACTTTCCCTCCCGCCGTTTCCCTTTGCTCCACGAAAAGCGTTCACCGCAAGTCAAGACACTTTCAGCAACTGCATTTCCAGGTAGAGTCCATTGCTCCCCGCAGCGGGGGGTGTGTGTTTGCAACTCCCGTTCTGCATTTTGGTTCTGTCCATTTGATAGTCCATTGCCGACGGTCGGATGTAGTCCGAGACTGGCCGCACCCTCACGTGCCTAATGCCACCCTGTTCTGTGGAAGAAACAGAGATACGGATCACGTAAGTAAATGATTGTGACAACGGTGCTCTGCGTGTTATTCTCAAGCACGTGCGTCACTCAGAGGTGGGATGTTCTTAAACCCCTTTCCCGTTCAGAGACGTCTGCAATTTTGCAGGGTGATGGGTTCCCGTTCACCGCTGAATCTCGGAACACGCAAGCGGTTCGCATTCATTTTACTTAAGAGAGACATTGTCCTCACCGCAGAGAAGTGTAGCGACACGACCGCACTCTATAATAGCTGATGCCAAACTGTGCCACATGTATGTATGTATATTGAACTTCTTTCGCACCGTACATATCCAAACCGTGCTAATCGGAGGAGCGGAAGCCTCGCTATGTCTTCCGACCTGAAGACATACTAATAAAGTTAGTTATTTTAGTTTTCTACTGATTCCGTTCCGATGACGTAACAGACTGCTGGGGCAAGTGATACGAGCGAGCACCTAACGGAGGCCAGCACGTCTCAATGATTGGGGGCCGATTATCCGATTCGCGAATTGGTTCGGATAATCACTGCCGACATTAGCCGTGGCCGGGAATCGAACTCGAGGCCGCGCTCGCACGCTCACCGGCAGCGTTCTCCGCGCCTCTCTTGCAGCGGGCGCCCGGTACCAGGGCGGCGCCGTTCGCGAGCAGCGCGCCCGGACACCGCCGCTGTGCCGCCACCGCCGGCTGCTCCCCATCGCTCTCGCTGGTGGTGTCGACCTCCGACCTGTCGGCGGAGCCCGGCTCTCCGGCGGCCGGCGGCAACTCGGGCGGAGGAGGCGAGGGGTCGCCGCCGCTGCCGGCCGCGTTACCGCAGCCGCTGCCGCTGCCGTCGGCGTCTCCCCCGCCGCGGTCTCGCTCGTCGTCGAAGTCACCGCTGCCGCCGCGGGGCGAAGAGTCGCTCACGTGCGGCTCGTGGGGGGTCGGAGACGAGCGGCCAGGCTTGGGGGAGCACCTGCACGTGCACCAGCGACGAGGGCAGCAAAAACAGCGATCAACGCCGCAAAGGTGCCACATGACGTATAATATCAGCAATGGCAGTAACCACGTGTGCATGTGGTGTGGCAGCCACGCGACCACCAATGCATATGGGTGCTCCCATTTCTGTACCGCTTGTGTGAGTGTGTGTGCTCGCAAACAGCACTTGCCCCAAAAGTCTGTTCAGGCTACACGGGGGATCTTTGTCTTTGTTTGTTTTATATGTAAGTATATTTACGGCAGAGCACTAGACATACAAATGAAGTTCTAATTCTAATTATTTGGTCAAATAAAATCCATCATCGTAATTTTTTGGGGGCTGATAAAATGCACACCACTTTGCAGGAAGAGCAACAATGCTTGACCTATGGAAGCAAAAATGTTGAATGTCCAACAATGGAGGCGAGTGTCACCAAAACGTTTGCTTGAGCAGGGAGATCAAATTTGGGATCTGTATTTAACACAAAGAAAATCATCGTGCGGCAGTGGGATTTTCATCCGTGGCATTGTGCAAGTTCGACATCAGCTCAATGACCACGATGGCAATAGGTGACCAACAAAGCCAACTTGGCTTCACGCACGGTTCGTTGCAACCTTGCCGAGGAAACAGGGGCTGCGAATGAAACCCCAGAAGCTGCTCGAACTTAAAATTTGAAATGAAACAGCAACACCGAGGGAGGAGGCACTTGATGCAGCACTCCCAACAAGGCTCAGCGGCTAATAACACGGCCATTATACGGTAATTGTCACGCAACATTCCAGAAATAATGCTAGACTACAAGTAGCCAATTATTGAGCAATGCCTTACAAGTGCGCTCAATCTGGCTGCACAATTACCTAGTAATTGTACATTGCATTATACTCGTGTCTGGATACATAGCAGGTGATTACACGTGATTAACTCTTACGCTTACCAAATTGTTACCGGAATGCAATTGATTCGCATTGCAAAAAAACAATCCCCCCCCAGGTATTTATTTTTAATTGCTTCTCTCAATTTCACTTGCGAGGCTTTTGCTTGCAAATATTTAACGACTTGGCCACAATGGTCGACGAGTTTTGATTGTTTTGTGTTTTGATTGTTTGTGTTTCTGGGAAGGTGCAATACTTTGAAGGGTGCATCTGTAGAGCATGGGGAAAAGCAACTCCGAGTTTCACCGATGGAACCCTGCAGGTAACAATCCCGACCCTTAAGGAACTGCCATGCTGAAGGCGAACGTGAAAGACCTTGAACCAACATGTGACACTCCCCAAATCAGCGGCCAAAAAGAAAGTTATTATCGTCATCATGAGCCATCGTCAAACCACCGCTGGATGAAGACCTCCGCACGCCGCCGCCCCCTTTCACCATCCTGCGTTTTAACAATCCCACCTAGCCCCTAGTTTCATCACTCCATTTACAAGCAAGCCGAAAATGCATCGTGTCCCTTGCTCGTAGCTATGAATGTCCGGGAGCACGCACGCACGCACGCACGCACGCACGCACGCACGCACGCACGCACGCACGCACGCACGCACGCACGCACGCACGCACGCACGCACGCACGCACGCACGCACGCACGCACGCACGCACGCACGCACGCACGCACGCACGCACGCACGCACCTGTTATTGTTGCTGCAGTTCCGGCAGTCGTTGCACTCGGCAGACTCTGCCTGTGGCACCGCGTGGTACAAGCCTCTCCCCTGGAAAGGTCCAATGACAAAATGATTAAATTTGCTCAAATCTCAGGGGATCGCGCGGCGAGTTCACGTGAAACGTGCAAGGCAGGAGGATATGGAGCAGCCCCGCAAATTCTTGGCTCGCTCAACTCCCATCGTCGGGAGGGACTCCAGCGAAGGAAGCTCTTTAGAGCCCCTTCCGGACGGTAGGCATGTGGCCTACTCTTCTACGCTGAACATACGTCTCGGAAGAGGTGGAGAGCACCCACACTTTACCCCACCACACGCTACCAGTGTGGTGAACCCATTTATACTGCTCGGGTGAGAAGGGCGGGGGGAGGAATTTATATCAACTGCCGTGCTGGGAGATTGAACTGAACTGGTGACCTTTGGGTCGCAAGTCCAGTCGCGCTAACAGTTGCAACAACGTCAGCTTGACAATAAGAGATGTATTGCGTAATTGCCATAAACTGCGAGTATGTCATGAGTACGATCATTTGCATCCTCTGCCAAGAGAAATTGGGTCAAACTTCTCAATGTGTGACTCTCCTGATTAAATTGCATTATAAATAATAATAATAACACTATAGTCTTCTCTGTCTTCTAAATGTATACATATCTGGGTGGTGTGGGTCAACTAATCCTTCCAATATCGAACAAGACAGCTCCAACAATCTAAACTCGATTTTGTTTCCGAACATGATGCTGCTGAAGTGAACACCGTTTCCGAAACAAGTGAAAATGCGCTCAGCATCGGGACGTGCTTTAATCAAGGCGACATCCGATTTAAATCGGCTGCCCGGCACGCAATGACGCTACTCTCCGCTGACCCGACATCACCGACGGTGAAGCGGGGCTGGCACCCAAAGCCACTCACGTTGAGCACGTGGTGGCCACGCTGCTGGTACTCCAGTCCCAGGCAGCCAACGCAGCCAATGTGGTGTCCTGTGGAGGGCGGCCCGACGGCACCGTCGCCGCCACCACCGGCGCCCTCCCACAACCCGGCCACCGCACCGTTGCCACAGCAACAAGAGGACGAGACTGCGGCCGCCGCCGCAGCCGCCCCGGGTCCCGGGCCGCTAGCCCCGCGCTGACCGCTGGCGTCCGACCGCTCGTCGAGAGGCCCCACGGACGGCGGGGATGGGGAGCCGCCGTTCATCATGGCCGGCCCGACGATGCCGCCGTTGATGAGGCCGGTGCCGGGCAGGGAGACGGAGGTGTAGTCCAGGCTCGGGTAGAGATATTCGGCCTTGCAGTTGGGCAGCACGGGGCCTGCGTTTGGCAGCAGCGATGCGAGCGCGGGGAAGCGGACAAAATACCGACAGACGTGCTCAGGTGAGCTTGGTATTCACGGGATGATCTCTCTTAAAACATTGGGCCCCAAAGTACTGTTTGTTTAAATGAGCCACACCTTGCCGATAACACAACCGTTCAAAGGCTTCCTTTTGGTTAAGACAAATGCGATTGTTTGGAGTGCCCACAATCTGGCTATCATATATACATAGACACGTACAGTCAAGAGACTTGCAAATCATTGCATTTCCCCCCCCCCCAAACGCTAGCACCTTATTCAACCTCGTACCTTTTCCACTTTATCATCATTAAACACTCAGAAGTGCCCAACACGAACCAGAGCCGGAGCCAGACATCGAGGTGACACGCCCCACCAAACACACAAGGCACCGGCTGTCACTGTGCTTCCTTTCGTTGCCAGCAATTTGGCCAAAACATTCAGCCTCAACATGGCACCAACACAAAAGCGTTTATCGTGGATTCGTGTCGTACTATACTTACAACTTTCATGACTACGGGAATTCATATTGTTTGGTTGTTTTGGTAAAGTCACGTAGATAGAAAAATTATAAAAATATATTTAAATTTTAATAAAAATATTTTTTTCTTTTTCTATCTACGTGACTTTACCGAAAGAACCAAAGAATATACTCCTACTACTAATTTTACTTCACCAGGTAAGGCCCACTGAGCTATGCAGCTCTTTTCAGAAGCGACCTGGCCACACATGATAGCTAAACGAAGTGGCTCATCATCACGTGTAAATGCACAGCAGCAGCAGCCATTTACTCTCCCAACGTCCCGGCGCTGACTTTCACCAACATGAACCCCGAGCTCGAGCGAGTCGTCACCTGGCGAGCCGTAGCCGCGGCAGTGTTGGCGCGCGCGCCACACCCACAGCCCGACGAAGAGGACCAGGACGAGCAGCAGCAGGCCGAGGCCCATGCCGAGCAGCAGGTAGAGGAGGTCGCGGCTGGGGGCCGCGTGCGGCGACATGCTCTCGCTGTCCACGGCCGGGGGTGGCGCCGGCCGGTCTGCGCCGTCGCGGCCGGTGGGGTCGGTGAAGTCGAGGAGGCTGCCAGCAGCTGAACGAGCAGCACGTTCAAGGGGGCGGGGGAAGCGTGGTTAAGATCGGGGTCAAGAGGATTATTGCGGACGACGCCGTCATGCCGGTGTCTCAAATCTGAATGTGTAACGGGCCGGCCGCTGATGCCATCGAGACTCGTGGTGCCCGGCGATTTGATTTCGAGGCGGTTGTCAGCGCAATATACGTTACGACGAACACCGCACTCGCGCTCGCCCACCTCTCGTCTCGCAGATCATGACGTTGCTGAACTCGCTCTCTCCCGCCGTGCTAAACCACTGGATCTTGATGTCGTACGACGTCTCCGGCTGAAGTCCGCTCAGCACGTGCCAGTCTCTGCTCCCTGGGGTGAAACGGCGAACGGCAGCTGTTACGGCCGAGCCGCATCGTGGATTAATTCGACCAACGCGTGACGGCGTGACTCACGCGGCACGCCAGGTGTTTATCAGCTGCAGGATGCAATCAGCTACGGCGTGACATATCTTCATGCTCCTGTAACGTGATTGTACTATGAACATCGCGATGGCGAGATGTTAGCTACCTCGCCTGGTATAGAGGAGGTCGTGGGTTCGATCTCGACCCTGGCGCCTACATATTTGGAGTTTGCATGTTCTCCCCATGGTTGCGTGGATCATTCTCCAGGTCCTCGGGTTTTTCCCCTCGACATTTAGAAACATGCATTTAGAGTATTTGGCTGCTGTAAATGTCCACATGATAAACCACTTCGTTGAGCCATCATTTGAGGCCAGGTCGCTGGCCACTTCGTTGAGCTATGTAGCTCAATGGGCCTTACCTGATAAAATGTTAAGTTTAGTTTAGTCTTTGTTTCGGAATGAAAATTACAGGGGACTTGTTCTCTTGAACAGTGAATTATGTTCGTACAGTATTCTCTAGACGTGTTTTGTTTGCTCTGATTTGCACGTGCTTCGTTGCTGATGGGTCTATGCTTGGTCTCTTGAGCTCTAACCTGGTTAAACAAATGAATCTGAATTCTAGTGCAAGCTAGAATAAGACAAAGGCCGGCACCACGCCCAACCGCCTTTTTCTCCCCAGTGGCGATGTTTACACACCGCACCAGGTACTCATTTGAGGCCGAGTTGACCTAGGGGAGGCCCAGGACCGGTTCAGATAATCGTCACTGGTGTTGGCCGTGAGCGGGAATTGAACCCGGATCGCCGGGTTCATCGTGCAGCGCGCTAACCGCTACACCACCGCTCCCAACAGTGCAAGCTAGGATAACATACACACACAGAAATCTGAAAGATATTACATTCATTTCTCAAATGACTGTGGTAAATACCCACAATGCACGTCACACAACTCAGACCGTTATACTAATGCATGTGCTCTCTTTACAACGCTTTCTGTAAATTATGAGAAAACCCATGCCAACAAATTTAACACTCGAGTTGGCGATCTAAACAACGATACGGCCCCACCACGTTAAGCTCTCTTGAGCTGGCAGCCTTGACAAGGCTGACAGCAATGTCCATGTAACGCGGCGGTCACATCACACGCGTGCACGGCAAGACGGGGAAGCCGCACCTTCCAACTGCCTACGAGCGGCGCGCATTTGTGCGCTGTTTTCAAACTGTGAATTTGCGTCGGACCTGAGGCCACTAAACCGAGGAAGGCTGCGTCTGTAGCTGGAACGATGTTCACCTGCACACAACTTGCACAGCGCGAGGGTCGCTCGCACGTGACATCCCTCAAACTCTAAACATCCCGCAGAGTTCTAAGCCGATGTGACGGCGGTGGCTCGTGCCGGGTGCCGCCGAGGCACTCACCGTGCAGGATCTCCTTGTGGTAGTCCTCGTCGTTGTCGCTGTCGGTGGGGCGGTAGTAGACGGTCACCTTCTGCACGGGCTGCGCCGGAGCTGCGGCAGACGCAAACTGCGCACGACGAGCGCGTGGGGTGGGGGCGGAGGGGGGGGGTCACGACCATCAACGTGATCATCCTCGTCGTTGTCGTCGGCATCGTGACCGTCATCACCATCGCCATAATCACCACCATTACTACCACATTTTCAATCATCCACGCACCACTCTCATCATCATGAATCGCACCTCCGATTATCACGGTTGGCTACGTACGGTGCGAAAGAAGTTCAACATACACACACACACAACATTCTACTTGAGAATTATTGCTCCGTCTCCCGGCACGCCAGTTAGAAACAAATCGAGCAAGTTTCTGGAATTCCCCCAACCTGCTTCTGTCCTCCCAGCAGTTTAAACAGGGAACCCCACAGTTAGTCGATCAGCAAGTAACAAGTGGTGGGGTAAAGTGTGCGTACTCCAAAACTCTTCCGAGACATCTGGTCGGCGTGAAAGAGACCAAATACAGCGGAGGCGAGAGCAAGTGACTGCGCGGCCGCACCTTTAACTTTACTCCACCCTGCTCTAATGAGCATGTGGCATTTCTGGTGAACCAGCACATCTTGGTTGGATTTACACATTTATATGATGGGTGCCCATTTCACCGTCTTTCCCAGACAGGGATGTGAACCTGCCGCAAACCACTAACATGAGACGGTTGTTGCGACTAAGTGCTACCGCACTCTCGGGCATCATCGTCATCATCGTCATCATCGTCATCATCGTCATCATCGTCATCATCGTCATCATCGTCATCATTGTCGATCGTTGAAATTGTTACGTACGGTCCAGGTGATGCGAATGGCCGTGTCGCTCACGGCCTCCGTGGCGGAGATGTGGGGGGCGGCGAGCAGTCGCTGGGAGGCAGACGCCCCCCCGGGGGAGCCCGAGAGGTAGAACGGTGTGGAGGGGACGCTCCAGGGGCTCTCGCCGTGCGCGTTCAGCGCCGCCACGCGGAAGCGGTACGCCCAGCCTGGGAGCATCAAGGAAGCGAGCATGGATCGGCGACGGTCACAAGCTGAGCGACGATTTATGTCGAGGTTTGTTTTTTTTGCTCGTTGTCTATAGGAGGTAAAGTGGGAGATTTTTTTTTTGCTAAGATTGCGGACCCTGAAATGTGCCGAATCGCGCCAACGCTGGTGGAAGGGCCTTCGCTGGAGAGAACTACAATGGAGAGTTTTTGGGGCCTACTCCGCCACGTCGACTAGACTCGTGTTGAAAGGAGATGGGCATAAGCTACACTACTTTACCCCGCCACACGCGACCCGCCGATCGACTGTGGTGTAGCCATTTATACTGCGGGGCGGGCAGAGGTGTGGGTGGGGGGGAGGTGGGGGGCATTAAGAAATGTGAGGATGAACCGGTCACCTCTGGATTGTAGGCACGGTGTGCCAACCATTACAACGTGGCAGCGCCATCATCCCCACATGCATGAATAGCTCGTAAACAATCAGCTGTCTGACAATTGGTGGCAGATCAGGATGGAAGGACGGTGGGAGGAGGGGGGGGGTGGAGGCAATTGCCACCCCCTTGACAGCCAAACAATTGGTATTTTATCAATATTCATAAATCAGAGCGAACTCCGGTCATCGAACAAGGACGGTCACCGCATCGCGCGCTTTTAGGTGCACTTCTGTGGCCATCTGGAACGCTCTTCATTCCGATATTAGGATGCCACTGGAGCTATGCACTTCTAAATCTAGATTGAAAACGTATTTCTTTAGAACTGCTTTTTGTGTTTAGTTTGCCGTCCTTCCCCCGCACCTCCGATTTGCGCGGTTGTCTGCACATGGTGCGAAAGTAGCTCAACATGAACACATACAATATTTGGATAAAATACATATATTTATGTTTTAACATAGCCGCCCCCACCGCGCTCCACGCTCCGCGTCCAATGACGATGGTCGACTGCCTCACCGGCGGCGAGGCCGTCGATCTGCACGGCGAGCTTGGCGGGCGGGATGCCGGACGCGGCCTCCTTCCATTCGCCGGCGCCACGGCCCACGCGCCGGCACTCGACGCGGAACGCGCTGACGGGGGAGCCGCCCGTGCCGCGCGGCATCCACGACACGAAGACCGCACCGCTGGCGCCGGAGCGCACGCTCACCGCCCACGGGGCCTCGGGGACTGCGGGGACAGGGGGGAGGATGAGGAGTAGGAGGATGAGGAGTAGGAAGATGAGGGGTAGGAGCATGAGGATGTGGAGGATGATGAGGAAGATGAGGATCAGAAGGTTGAGGAAGATGAGGACGATGATGAACATGAGAAGGATGAGGATGAGTAGGAGGGTGAAGATGTTGATGATTAAGAGGAGGAATGTATGAGGGGCAGTAGATGGAAGAAGGAGATGGGCAGACAAGGAGGAATTTGAAGGGGAAAAGTTGGAGTAGGAAAATCAAGAAATGGAAGAGATGGCGTTACGAGTAAAAGTGGCGCAGAGGAGAGGAGGACAAGGAAAAAGAGTACTTTGGTTGTTTTAAAGCAATCCTCTAACGTAGATAAGCAATCACTGCTCATGTTTTTTGTCTGGCCGTTTAAAGCTGTGACACGGATCTCAGATTTTTGCGGGGCTCAGAGGAGGCGGGGGTGGGGAGGGCGGGCTCGTAAAGCCCCGCGTAGCGAGCGAGCGGCAGGCCCACGGAACAGCTGCTTGCTTTGTTTTCCATGCGCAACGAATACAATAAACCAGCGGAGACTCCCACTAACCCTCACCTACTCCCTACACCCGAGTTCCCTTTAACGATAAACTCCGTAAATGACAATGCCAGTTGAAGGGCATTGAAGAGGCTCGGCATTTCGTGAGTGAGAAAAGTTCTTTTTTTAGGTTTTAGCAACAAAAAAAACAACCTCGCGGCTATGAAGCAACGCTCGTGAAGCCAGCCACATTCCCTCCACCGCCCGGGTGTCGATTGCCGTTGATTTAAAGCGAGCTGCAGTCACCTACTCGGCATCGATTTAGCTCAAGGCAGGTTTGGGGCGTGCCGCGGGCCGTCCACGCTGGCACGCATCCCGTGGAGAGACCTCGCACGTGGAAGCGAGGCCTCAGCCTTCCCGTGTCCTTGGTCGCTGTGAGCAGGGGCTTAAGCGAGACTCAGGATACAGCTGCATGTTGTTTGTCAAATGGATATGGTTGCTGGATTAATGCCTCTCTCTTGTACATACACACTGCCACCGCCCCCCTCCCCCCCCCACCATGTCTGCTTTTGCACAACATTTGTTCGGTATGGCTACTCGAGCCAAATCCATTGATCCCTCTGGAGTGGATATAAAAATGTGTACCATCGTGTGGTCAAGACAACACTGAGAGCGACTTCCGGAGAGAGACAGCGTCGCGCAGCGCCAATGTGGAATTTCTGCTACCGTTTTGGGGCCACAAACAGAGAGCCGAGTACCGCGACATGTTTGTACGGGCATTGGGACAAAGATTTTAAGTAAAAAAAAATTATGTTCAGAAAGTCACTGGATTTTTATTATGTATGAGAAACAAAAATATCACTTACGTTCGAGTAAAGCTTAGTCAGTCATTTAGCATTTTTTACAGTAGCCGCTACTGGTTTTGTGCTCTGTAATTCCCGTGTTCTTTCGTAGCAGATTGATCAAAACTGTCTGTACATAGATAATTTTCCTTTTTTCTTCTTTGGAAGGAGAACATGGTTTTTCATTTTACCAATCCTATAACTTTTTCCCAATAACTTTGGCCCTCATGAACAGCACTTATTCAGTAACAATTCAACCAGAAACCCAGAGGCTGAAAACAAATCAAAACAGCGATTCTCAACCAGTATCTCAATGACGGCCCACCTCAGAGTCAAGACCAACGATCCCATCCCAGCTCCAGCCTCCAAAACACAACCAAGCTTACGGAGGGCCACAACAGAGCGAGATCGCACGTCCACGCCTCTGGTCGACGTAGTGTTTAACAATTACATATTGGTCCCTTTTGTTTTTGCTGCAACATGGCACTGGCTTTCCCCGTGCACTTTCAACATTTCTCCCCGCGCGGTGCTCACGCCGCAGCCTGCGTTGCCTACGGTAAAAGCTCGACGGCTTGAGAAGTGACGACCTTACAGGCGAGTAGATGGCGCGTGTGTAGAGATTACTTTGTTTGGAAGATTTTGTTACGTGCATTTCCCCCCCACCGTTTTGTTTTTCCCTTTACTTTTGTTCTTCTTCCCTCGCCTTAACTTCCCCATATAAAAAGCGACACGTTCCCCCTCACAGTCCCTACACGAGTGGGGCAGTGAGCCCAATCTTCTCCCCTTTCCCAGTACCCAGGAGCACCGAGTTCAAACTCTGGCCTGTGGAATTTCTGTAACCCCCGCCACCCCCACTCCCTCCCTTATTACGGTTCGTGCCTATTATAGGGCTCTTGTCAAATAAAAAAAATGCAAAAAATTTAGTGGAAAACTAGATGCGTTTCTTTGACACGAGCGTGACAAGCGAGGGCGTAGGCCGAGGGGGGGACGAGTGCCGCGGCGAGCATACCGGTGTGCGCGTCCGGCTCCGCGGGGCTGTAGTTGAGACTGTAGCTGTTGACGCCGCTGTCATCGTTCGAAGGGCGGCGCCACGGATTCACGGGACGCAGGCCGCTGCCGGGCTTGCGGGAACTGTTGTTCTTCTCTGCAAGGTGTGACGTTGCAGTAGAGGGTGGGGGGAGAAGGACAACGACACAAATCAGCGATTGGGGTGAAAGAAATCCGATTTCGAGCAACTCGGCACGTGGCCAGAAGTGACTGCGGACCGGCAACGCCGGCTAAAATCTTGCCTGCCCGCGTGGTGCGGGCCCCGCCCGTCCGCACCGGTGCTCCGGTGCTGGCTGAATACCTTTGGCGGTGCGGAAGGTGAGCATGGCGGGCTGCCCATTGCCGGCTCGACTCCGGGCCACCATCTCGAGCTCGTAGAGGCTGTCGGCCTCGAGCTCGGTGAGCGACAGGGAGCGCTGGTCGGCCGGTACGCGCATGCTCTGCCACACCACAGGATCCTCCACCGTCACCTGCGGGGGAGGCGGCAGACACGGCAAGGTCAAGATGTGGCTGACATCAAAAGGCTCCTGGTCACGCTTAGACTTGGCCTTTGTGTGATGACAAAGCAAGTACCACTCTGTGAAAAGTTGAGCGATTGCCCGCTGGCGAACCTTGCTCCCACTTCCACAAATGTGGTATTATTTTCTTTATCCATGAGCCTCAGCAGAGGGTCCTGTTTTGGGTTGTTTGCCCAACTAACACCATCATCCCTTGGGGATCAATAAGGGGAGTACAAATTTGTGGGAAGACCAGTTGCCCTCTGGAGAGACTGGTTCCACCATCACAAAATGTGGAATTCCTACCACCGGCTCAGGGCTGCCAGTGGGGATAAGCACTGACCAACTCTCGTTTGAACAGTGAGACACTTTAACTTACACTGGATTATGACTGGATAAACAACCATGATAATAATACCAACAACAATAATACATTTACTCACTTCTTTCCCCTGTTTTTCAAAGCAAAGTTGAGGGTGAAAATTCAGCAGGTCTGTGTATGTGTGTGGGAGGCCAGATTTGTATAATTTTATTGACACCGGACACAAGTTTGGGGTGGGTTTGTATCACTCTCTGGAGAATACGGCAGGACCGTACCTTGCGGTACTTGACGAGGTAGGCCATGATGGGGGCTCCTCCGTCTCTGCCGGGCCTCCACCTCAGCTCGTACGAATCCGGGCTGGAGCTGCGGGGCGCGCTAAGCATTATGGGAGCCTCGGGAGGGAGGAGGGCCGAGTTGGTCGCCACGGCGGCGGCGGCGGCGGCGGCAGGCACGGTGGTCGGGACCCCGCTGGACCCGGGCGTTCCCGACGGCGGCTCCTCCTCTGCCTCCGCCGGCTCGTCTTGCAGGGGGAGCTCCGGGAGGCTCAGGCGCTCCGTCGCCGTCTCCTCGGCCGCCTCCTCCTCCTCCTCCTCCTTGGGCTGCGCGTGCTCAGCGCCGCCGCCTCTCTCTGCGGCAGGAGGACGGCACCGCGAGACATTCAGCCTCTCTGGGACGTGAGACTGGTCGCTTTGCTTTTAAAAAGAATAAATGTATGTACCAGCTTGCAGCGCAACAAATACAAGAAGGCAAAGAACTAGAAGACACCGTGAATGAAAGACCGCCATAAGACTAAACAAAAAATAATTAATTTATTTTTATTTAACCAGGAAAGGCCCACTGAGCTATATAGTTATTTTTCAGAAGCGACCTGTCCACAAATCATAGTTCAAATACTCTTAACGCATGTTTTTATATGTGGAGGGAAAAACACGAGGACCTGGAGAAAAATTAACCCGACCACGGGGAAAGCATGCAAACAGCAAATCTACAGGCATCAAGGTCGGGATTGAATCCACGACCTTCTGTATACCAGACGAGGTAGTCAACATCTCGCCACCATGGCACCCATTTCGCCACCATTTGAGACGTATAAAATAAACATAAAAAAATTGAGGATTTAAGAAATAGCAGATAAATGTGGGAAAGGTAAGAGAGAGGGAAGAATAGGAAGCAGAGATTGACTCCAATTCACTGTGATTCACTTTGATTGCAGAGTATTAACACACAATGCACCACTGCGTGGGTAACCAGTCTGGCTGGTGTTGTTCATGAGTTGAGAGTTTAAACCCTGCTGGGAGATTCAACCACATAGATCACAATTGCAGTGCCTTGTAGTGGGAACTCGGTATTGGTTATACTGTAGATTAAAAAAGTAACAAAGTTTATGGCAATGTAACACATCCTGACATGCGCTTGTCCTCAGAAGTAATTCATTAATTAGCGATAACAAGGTCGCTTTCTGAGAAGACCAAGATGATGTCAGGCACAATTGCGTCACGGTGAAGCGATGCGCGCGCGCATGGCATGTGACCTCCTCCAATCCGCGGTGGGCTTTTTTTATTGCCAAACTTTGGCCGACCCTTTATAAACACAAATTACAGGGCAGGTCCACAACCTTATACCGAAACTTAAGTGCTGCTCGACAAGGGGGTGGGGGGGGGGGCACGGACGGTGCCGCGCAACGCAGCGCCGGAGATCTCACCAACGAGCCGGAGCCTCGTGCCTCCGCGCTGCACCCTCTGCTCCTGCGTCACGGGGTTGTACGCGGCGCAGCGGTACACGCCGACGTCCTCGCGGGACACGTTCGAGATGCGCAGCGTTCCGGACGGCAGGAGCTCCACGCGCCCTGCGGCGTTGCCAAGCGTGGGTTGTTAGCGTCGCACGATCGCGACGCCTTTGCCGACAATACGCGCGTGCTGCACAAGGTGACCGATAATGGCCACGTGGTGCGACTGGTACGTACAACAGAGAGCTCAAGTCACGAGTCGCTTAAACGTCGTTCCGCTTAAAGTCAAACTTTTCGGGAGCACGACGACGCCGTCAAGCGAGGGGACTCCCCGTATTCGTGACGTGTCTTTATTCTCCAATGCTCGCGCATACATTGACTTCGGGACCGCGAGAGCTGCGTGGGGGGGGGGGGAATTGGCCCGGGCGAACGCGGCGCGAGCGAGGTAGGAGCGCCATACCCGCGGTGGTGCCCAGCCACTTCTGCTTGAACTTGTATCGCGCTTGCGCCGGCGGTCGGCTCTCCGGGAGGGAGCAGTGGACCTCCGCCGATTCCCCGAGCGCCACCTCGAGCACGCGGCGGGCGTACCAGCGGAACTCGCCCAGACCTGAACGACACCGACGCGCTGTCAGCGAACGCCGCCGACGCAGTCGTTTCATTTCCGCGACGCCGCTGACGAATATCCTCCGAGTGTATTTCACTACATCCGATGTTTTTTTAGTCGAAACTACAATAAAGGGATACATTACACATTCCGATTGCAGGGGCCAATCTATTCATGGGATGCCCACGAAGTAGTGCTCGTTTTGTGCACCGTGGAGGAATGATGATAGATCGATAAGCCAACAGGTGAGTAAAAAATGTGCTTGCACCGCTCTAATTACAGCGCAAGCCAACCCAGACATGCTTCCTCCATCAATACACCCTTATCACCCAGCTGTTCACAACCTCATGTAGCTCCGCTCCAAAATCTCCTCCAACCGACTTGACTGCTCATCAATCTCTCCGCACGGCATCTGGTCACGCTATTGAAACTCAACTATGAACTACTCTTATTTGACCAGGTAAGGCCCACTGAGGTTTAGACCTCTTTATCAGAAACGACCTGGCCACAAATAATAGCTCAACAAAGTGGCTTTTCATTTAAAACGCACGATGATTCTAAATGTGGAGGAAAAAACTAGAAGAGAACCGGAGAAAAATCCACGTGACCACCGAGAGAACACACGAACTCCGAATATAGACGTCACATGGCGAGGTAGTTAACATCTCGCCACCGCGGAACCCCACCACCGCAGCTGCTGCATGCTGCGTGCCCTACAACCGCGTTGCTGCTGTGTTTGTTTCCACTCACGGGCGAGCGTGACGTTGGCGGGCGCGCTGGTCACAGAGCCGTTGCCGGTCGTCGCCACGCAGCGGTACGCTCCCTCGTGCTCCGGCCGGAGCGCCGCGATGAGCAGCTCGCTCCCTGCGAGCAGCACACCCGCCTGGCGGGCCGCGTTCTCCCAGGCACCGTCTCCGCCGCCACCGCGGTACTGCCAGTCGAGTGCAGCGCCTTGAGGGTCCGTCGTGCAACCGAGCCTCACCTCCCCTCCCGGCCGCTGCGTCACGGATTCCGGCTCGGATGTCAGCCGGAGGGAAGGCTCTGTTGTGGCACATGTGCACAGACACATGCACGCGTGCATAAACATGGACTCGTACGAGTACAATGCACTCACTTCAGGGAGGGATACAATGTGCGCGGTCTCTCACCTGGGTAACATAAAGGCATTTATATACTTACTGACGGAAACTTGATGCATTGTACGCCGGGTTTCACAGGGCCCCTCCCACTGAATAGAAACCGCTCGGGAAGCGGCAATTGTCGAGATGCGTTAAGGGTTAAAGCGTTTACGAATCAATCAGGGGGCGGCTGGCGGCCCCAGTAAAAAAACGTGCGCTGTTTTTTTATAGACCCGGGCAGCATTAACAGCTCGACTTGCGAGCTGCGGGTGATGTTCGACGCGACGTCCCAACGCACTCTCCAGTAGAGAGACACAGAGAGAGAGAACGCGACACGAGCCAGGCCAGAGGAGAGATACTTCCGCTCTGAGAGAATCGGCACCTTCGGGACATTGCTTCACGATCATCGCATTTCCACGGCAGGGTCACGTTGTTTTTATTTTCATATAAATGCCAAATCGTTCGCTTGTTCGCGGCGCGTAAAATAAAGGCCAAGAGTGTGGAAAAATTAGCAGTCAGCAGAGCCGATAAACTTTTATTTGCAGCTGAGCGAGACTTGCTGTGACCCCAACAGCTTTTATTAGCATCCTCTTTGTAAAGGGGGACTCGGAATGCAGATCATTTATCACGGCGGCCAAGGGGCGGGGATGTAGGTGGGGGGGACTGGGGGGGGGGCGGGGGGGTAAAGAGGTGGGGGGGGGGTGTTTCCCCTGCCCACGGCCTCCACGCATTGGCAAGTGTCAAACCCTGACCCCCCTCTTATCCAATGATAAACTCCCGCAGTTCATACAATAAAGCTTTGTCAAACACGCTGACTGACACAGTGACAATAACACAACGGGGCTACGATCACGCAGGGCGGCCACAATGCGCGGCGGATCCGTGCCCCTCCGCCCGCCCCCCCGTGAATGGGAGCCGATGGCGACGACCGCTCTTGGACCGGCGTTGCGACGACGAAGCGAAGCGCCCGCAGGGGGTTCTGCGTAGCGAGCGGCCATCGCCGCCACTCGGCAGACTCGCGTCGTGCCGCGGTGGCGAGATGTCGACTACCACGCCCGGTATGCAGGGGGTCGTGGGTTCGATCCCTACTGACGCCTGCTGGTGTATATTTGGAGTTTGCGTGTCGCTCTCTCTCGTCGTGGTCGCGGGGATTTTTCTCCTGGTCCTCCGGTATTTCCCTCCGCATTTCGAATCAACATGCGTTTTGAGTATTTGGCCACTATAAATGTCCACGTGACAAGCCAATTCGTTGTGCTATCATTACATGCCGCCAGGTCGCTTTTGAAAAAGAGCTATCTAGCTCAGCCAGCTTTACCTGGTAGAATAAAAATAGTTTCGTTCGTAGTTTTAAAATACACATCCTAAAAACACGTCCGGCCCAGGTGCCACTTCGGCTCAAGCACTCATTGCACAGCAGCCGGGTAGGGGAGGAGTTCTCATGCAGGTTGGGGCCTCGTCGCAGCCCATCATTTTTCCAGGGCCGATAAAGCAAGCACAACTTTGTGAGAAATCCACGGTGGTAGTGCGCTCATCGCCATAGAAATTGGGATTTCCATTTCTGGGTAAGAGCTCGGAGGGAGACACCAACATTTGGCACGTGTTCACAAATGACACGCGCGTAAAGTCACGCAGTTATTTTAGAGGTCAAACAAATCCCACCGCTGCATTAAATGTCGGCCAAAAATCTTCATTCAACGTCAGCTATAAAGTTAGTGACGCGGCAATGACGACAACAACAACAAAAACACGCTGACAAGTTGAAAAGATGAAGAACAAATACGGTCAGCATCCGTACTTTCCTTTAAAAAAATAACAACAACAGTCCACGAAACTACCGACCATTTCCAACAAAAATATTGTTCTGTTTTCACACAGCGGTGACCAGGAGGGCTGCCCAAGCGGTTTGCGAAAGCCGCTGCCAGCCAACGCCGGAGCAAGCGATCCCCCCCCCCACCCATTTTCAGCCGCGTCTGTTGGGGAAAGCTAATTACAGATAATTGCTGGAATCGATCAGCAGCACCGGGGAAGGTGGGAGAGAGCCACTGAATGGGGCTTTTGAGCTCCGTCTCGCTCCACACACAGGCTCATTGTGAGCGCGGGAGCTTGGGTGGATGGGGGGGGGTAGCCCCCACCTCCCCGGCCAGCCCGGCAGCAAACCCCAGCTCGGCCCTCACTCCTGCTTCAACTACCTCAACCGCGCGAAGATGCCACACAGGGAGAGCGACCTGCGAGCGGCGACTGAGTTGAGCGGAGAAGTCCGCCAAGCCGCGGGGAAATGTGCGCGCGTGCGGTTCCGTCGATTTTTCTTGTTCGTTTCAGTGTCAGTGCCAAAACACCACCGCTGGTGGCTTCCAAAATTCACATTCAGCCATAGTGACACAAGTCAAGGCAACTCCCCGACCCAAACAAATATTGCCTGCTCATCATATTTGTCTCTCCACTTAAAAAAAAGTTTTTTTTTTTACACACAACCCATCGCTACACAGTCTCGCTGGGCGTGCATTTTGCCGGCAGCATTGATTCAAGCACTTGCAAAGTCTCGACCAGTTTCAACATTCAGCGAGTCTCCGGCAGAGTGAGGCTTGCTTGGATCAATGCTGGTGAAGGGCCAGATCAAGAGATTGCGGGATGATGTTTCCCTCTGTTGGTGGCCCTGAGCTATTAGGATAAATTCCACATTCCTACGGCATGGGAGATCCCTTTAATGACAGCAGATAACAGGTCACATCTATTTTTGCGGATTTTTTTTTTACCTTGTTCATTTAAGATAACATTCAACATCAATGTTTAAGCCTCGTAACATTGGAAGAGTATTCACTCGTCAAATGTAATTGTAAATACCATGACTGAAACGTCTTGCTTGCGCAAAACTTCAGTCGCATGGAATATGAATGTATGTGTGTATATACACAGTACTGACAAACACCTACACACACAATGCACATGTATAAAGACTGACGTTCCGTTGTATTTAACGCGCAGACTTATTTGCTGGCATTGCACTCATGAGATCCGATCCACAATCGTCAATTACGAATCACTCCAGTTTACTTTCACCATATACGCTCTTGAGGGAAAGCAGTGTTGAACGATCCACTGCTGAGGATGTGCCAACACACGGGGCTGTGGCGAGGAGCGGCACAAGACGCCAAGCTACCCGAGTCTCCGAGGTGCCAATGTTTGACTCGCTGCACCGGCTACCGATTCTAGGCAAACGAAGCCTCAGGCCTGGTACAATTGGGGAACTTGACGTTTCGATCGTCAACCTTTGACCCCTACAAATCACGCTGCGAAGAGCATGGAGACAGCCACGTGTACATTTTACACCGAATACAAGAAATAGTTTTCAGCACTGTGCACCATCAATATAAAAATGCACGCTTCATTGTCCCCTGTGTGCGCACAGATATAAAAACTCACCTGCTGTTTGAACATCATCCAGCACCCCCTAATTGCTAATTCCACCGCGATTCCACCAAGATAAGTCACTGAACAGCTGCTGTTGTGTGCGCGGGCGGGCGGGAGGGTGGATGGATGTGTGGGGGAGCACGGCATCGGTGCAAAGTGAGTTGGCTGAATTCTAAACGGGTGTTTTTTTTTAAGCAAAGGAGACCGTCCGCGTCTCGACTCATGACGTTATGATCGGACCAAACGTGCGAAGAAATGACAAAGGCAGATCACTACTCAAACTCTAAAAAATGCTGTAGTTTTAAGATTCGCGGAGATGTCTAGAAGTTAATTCAAATGTCTATGAATGTCTATTAAACAAGATATAGATGTGTATTGATAAAAAAGAGAAAACCGCTCGGTGGCACAGCGGTAGATCGAGCAGCTCGCAATTGGAAGGTTGTGAGTTCAAATGCTGGTTTGGGGGTTGACTTAGTCCATCACTCCTCAGGGTGGATTAAACGAGAACTATTTTGTGGGGATGCTGACAGTGGTTATGCTTTGGCGGCGGGGGCTGCCATAGGAATCAAAAGTTTCCACCACCGACTCAGGGAAATAGCAGTTGAGCACTCTCTTTAATATATATAAAAAGTTCACTTTGGCATGTGCTGTACGAGCTCTCAGGGGACCCACAGTTGCGTTGTCAGTACCTGTGGCGCGTGCGATGCAGAGGGTGGCAGCAGCCAGAAGGCACGGCACGATGACACGGCAGGCCATGGGGACCCGGGGCTCACGCGCGGCACGCGGCCACTCAGGGCTCCGGGGGCATAGATCTGCACAGACAACAAGAACGACGACAACAATGTCACAACAGTCAGCATCACCACTATCAGCGTCACAACCATCAGCGTCACAACTATCAGCGTCAGCATGTGACGCACCAGCCATCGCAACCATCACGGCATACACACGCAGACGCCAACAAGCTTATCAATGGGCACAAGCTATGACAGTGACATGTTGAGCAAAAGCGGCGTATCAGTTCGTGAGGAATAAATGCAACATTAAAAAAATTATAAATCGATCGTTTTATTGACGGCGAATTGTAAAAGGGGAGGGCGTTGGGGGTTGAATGAACAAATTACTTATTTACCCGGGAAGGCCACGTGGAGTCCAATAACTATTCTTCAAGAGGGTCCCTGCATCGGGATGTGTGGCCAACACCCATGCCATGAGCACGGTTGGTTACGTATGGTGCGAAAGAAGTTCCACATACATACAATTGTATGTTTTCAGCTATGGGAGGAAACCCACGCGAGAAACGCAGAAAAAGGTGGCCCGTGTCAGGAATTCGAACCCAGGACCCTCCTTGCTGCGAGTCGCAACTGTTACCACTGCGCCACCCAGAAATTGTCGCACCTCGGGGAACACCCGCACCCGATGCTGAACGCATTAACGGCGAGGAGATAACCCAACCTTTTGCGACACGCTCGGCGGCAGCAGCAGCTGTCCAATCAACATTAGTCACCGCGGACCGATGACGTCAATTACGAGTACAACTGTGGCAATGAAATTCCAGCACCATCGGTCTTCATCACCCCCCCACACCCCCGTTTTCAGAACAGAGCAGTAGTGGCGGTCGTGTCCGCTCTGTTTGTTTAAACTCACACCACTCTACCCAAATTCTTACGTATATATAAAAACACACACTGGCTCAATTCGCGAAATGTATTGACTTCGCCTATTTGCAACCTTCAAGAGCACGCGGTTTGTTGCTGGCCGCTGGCCATTTCGTGGGTCTGTGACCAGCTAACTGCGAATGACCAAAACAAAACACCCGGACCCTCCATCCCTCCCTCCCCTGTATGCGCGAGAGAGCGATTACGGACCTGGCCGCACCATGAGGCGCCTGGCTTTTCAGCCACCCCGCAGCGCGGGAGCGGATGGGCTGGGTGGTTGGAGTGAGAGACGCGGAACGCGCGCGCGTGTGTAGAGTGAGTAGCGCGCAACGCTTCGCAAGCACGGGGCAGCCTTCAGCGCGGCACGGGTTGTCGGGGGCGCAGTGGGACGCGGTTAATCTTTAAACCGGTACACAAAGTCTGCTTCGAGTCGAGAGTCAGAGCCAAGAACGCAGCGATCGGAATGGCGACAATGTTGGCGTGAAACTCTCTTGTGGGAATTGCCGTAAGAATTAGGAACAACACGAGTATTAAGACTTACGCGAATATGTTTTGTTTGTTTTACTAACGTGTATCATCTGTACATTATTAATCCAGGTGAGAGGCTATTGACGTAATTATTTCCTTTTCAAGGAACGTGTGAAACCCAAGAACCTATCGTTACGTAAGACCTGCTCGTTCGTTTTTCCACCGTCTATTCATAGCCGATTTTATAATAAAATTTTGCGCAAGGCCTCAACCGGGTCTCAAGACTATTTGCTTGCGATGTTCGATCAATTCCTCGCCAAATATTTCGTCTGCACGATGAATCTGGACAACCCTGATAAAAAAAAAACAAGTGGATAACACGAAGCAAATGAGTGCACGCCAGATATACTATTTGTAAAGATTGGTCAGAAAACTTGGGATTTTGGATGATGACACTGGTATATGATAGTCATTAAACTATAAATAAACACCCGTAGCAGCCTTGGGCAGGTCAATTCACTGGAATGTAGGATTTTCAAGAATAATAAAGGAGTTACAGCTAAGGAATGGAATGCATCCAAGGGGATGTCCAACGAGGAGATGGAACGACAAAACCAGTTTGTGTGCATGTGCGAGGTGGACTATCACATCAGAGGGTCATGAGAGTTGGCGGTGGCTTTAGAAGGCCTTCATCCAGCAGAGGGTTGAGCATGGCTGATCATGATCATGATACACAAGTCTACCCTCGTGATTGCAAGAACAGGGTTCACTTCCGTGGCAATGTATTAATGTCCTGGTGAAGCTGCAGTGATATTCGGCTGTGGCAATCGGGGTGTTTGACTCCGAGCGGGCAAACACAGTGCCAGGTCACTGGCCACTGACAATATCGCAGCCAACTTTGAGAAAAACAAAACAAAGTAGCAAATTACTAAAGTAAAATAAATCTAAACAAAATGACTCCTGCATGTGTTTTCCACCCACGCATTAAAAGTGCAATAAACGATGTTGACATATGCATTTGTAAACATTACAAAGGTCGAAATGTCTTTATAAATCCGTATCAACAATATCGCGACCTTTAATCAACAACATTGCCTTTTGCGTGGAGGTGTTTATGTTTAACCAGCTTGCATGTGCTCGGAGGACATAAACGTCTGGGTTTCAACAAGGGCAACGTGTTTTCTTCTCGCTTTGTCTGGTTACAAGATGTCACTGTGCCGTCACTTTAAATGCCACCTTCTTGCAGACGTGAACCTGCGCACGTACAATAGCGCTTCCACACGCCTGCATGCAAACGCGCATGCTTGTGTGTTCGAACACGCACCCACAGCAGGCATTAACAAGGAGAGCGATCCCGTGTCTCGCACAATCGGCTTTAGGGGCAAAGTGCCGTTTGTGAGTGCCTGTTACGGTGAGCATGGTACAACACTGATATAGATATGGGAGATGACTACAAACACCTGACCCACCGTTGAATTCCCAGACCCGAAGTGAATGCAGCACCAGACAAAGCCACACAACGGAGATGCAGATGCCAATTTTACCACGGACCTATCTGTATCCTTGCGAACTAGCTGGGCAACTGACTATAGACGGGATTTTCCGTGTAACGAATAACAATTGAATCGAGTTGGAACCCAGATGGGCAGGAATCGTGGCTCATTTCACCCTCCAGTATGCCACCGCTTCCCATACGCTCTCGGCACATGTACAAGTGCACATACTTCACACACAAACTAAATCAGACACAATTGCAAACATCTCCTGTAAATAGCCTTATCAGGCTGTTCGGGAAAATGCCATTAGTGAGCACCTACGATGGGGCGGTGTGGGCATCACCACGCCTGGCCGTCTTTGTCTCTCCAGCATCGATGTTTACACAACGCACCAGGTTCACATTCAAGGCTCATTCATCCGAGGGGACACCCAGGGCCGGTTCAGATATCCATCACCGGTTGCTCACCGTGAGCCCTGATCGAATTCAGGTCACCGGTGTTCATGGTGCAGCGCGCTAACCACTATTCCACCGCTCCCCACACACACAAAAGACAAAGATCCCCCATATAGCCTTACCAGACTGTAGGGGCAAGTGCTGTTAGCGAGCACCTATGAAGGCCGCAACGGTACACGAGGGGGTGGGTGGCCAGCACCGTGCCAGACCGCCTCTGTCTCCCCAGTGGTGATGTTTACTACACACCGCACCAGGTACTCATTTGAGGCTGAGTCGACCGAGGGGAGGCCCAGAACCGGTTCAGATAATCGTTACCGGTGTTGGCCGCGAACGGGAATCGAACCCGGGTCGTCGGGTTAATAGCGCAGCGCGCTGACCACTACACGACCACTCCCCACCGACCCACACACACTCAAACACACACACTTAGTTACGTACGTGTGCATAGACGTACACACGCGGACACGCGCGCGCGGACGCACGTGGGTATCCCCACTGACCTGCAGCGAACGCCGTTTGCTTAAGCACTTCCCGGCCAGCCACGCAAGGACGCGGGGCTTCCCCTCTGGGGCCCAGGCGCACACAAAACAAGCGGCAGCCCGCCAGCTCGCCCCCGCCCGGCAGCCCGTCCGTTCGTCCGTCCGCTCGCCGCACATGCACCCAGAGCTTGCGAGCGGCAGCCGTGACACCGACGCGGGGCTCGAAGTCGGCCCCACGCGATTCTGTCGACGCGGATTGTGGAGTTGCTCGGCCGTTTCCCTCGGCACGGAAAAGCAAATCCCGGTGGAGCGGTAACGCGCTCGACGCGTTCAGCCTCGCGTGCTTTACGCTGCGAGGGCACAAACTTGTCGAGCCGAAACCCCTCAATCGAAAAGTCCACCACAGACGCACGGCTAAGGCGGCGGGTCCCAGCGTGTCCAGCACATGCACACCTGGCCATCGCTTGTCTACTCGGTGGCGACACTGACAGTCTGACACGTCCCACAGCAGGTATGCACTCGCTTTATGCTGGGTGGACCTAGAGGAAGCCCAAGACGTGGCTGATAACGGCTGGCACCTGTGTTGTGTGTGACCATGGATGTAACCTAGATCGCGAGGTTAAAGCGCAGCGCACTAACCACTAAACGGTCAGGTTTGTGTTTAGACATGCAGACGCAGCAGTGCCACTTTAATTGTTGCACAATTCTACAACAGCCCTTTAGCAAATACACTCAACACACAATTTATAACACGAACCACTTCAAATGGCTCTAATCACACCCAAAACAAACAGAGGGCCGAAGTGAGGATAAGCATTCTTATCGCCCATTAGTAGCTTACAGCCCTCTATCACAGCCTGGGCATGGTGCTCCTGTGTGCTCAGCAAGCAATGCCGCTCGTCACAGAGGCATCGCTAACCCGAACCGTAAAGCATTGCGGCTCATCTTCTGAACGCGACGTACGTGCGTATGTATGCTGAAGCTATTTCACGCCGTACGTAGCCAACCCTGCTAAATCGAAGGATGCGGGGGAAGGACATCAAACTAATTCCATCAATGCAATAACATTGGTGGAATTGCCTTCGCCCAACTGACGGTATTCAGCAATGTCAATCTATATAGACACAAGGACAAAGTTCTCCCTGTATAGCGACGTGAATCGCTGGGGCAAGAGGCGTTTGAAAAAGCAACTTGATTTTGTTACTACCCGCGCCAGAGAGGGGGTGGTGTGGCCAGCAGTACACGTAGCTGCCTTT